CCCCCCCCCCCCCCCCCCCCCCCTCCCGTTTCCGTCTGTTGTGCAGGCACGCCGACGGTGATTTTATTTTTGGGATTTTTGCTAAACTAGTGTGTTCTTGCTATCAGAATGTGAACCGTTCGGTGATAAAGTATTTATCAGCGTGCTTTCCGAAGAAATACGGTTACTTCATGAAAATCTCCTAGAAGCAAGCCATCTTGGCTGCGTTACTTAATTTTGTTCACGCAGTCTTGCAGTTATTAATAATTCAGAACCAAAAATTTCGTTTTGAAGGTAAGAACGGACGACCTCTGGCAGGAGATGATTGGACTTGGTGCCGGTACCCCAGAAAATCGCCGTCGTCGCCGTCAAGCAGGTTACTACGGTATTGGTAAAAGCAAGGGAAGTGGTGCTGGAAGTGGTGATGGAAGTGGCTACGACAGTTCATCGGGTGGTGGATCCTCCGGTGGCTATGATTCTGGTGGACCGAACTACGGAGATACGCCGCCAACGGCGGCCGGCGAAGGGCCCAACAATCCGTATAATCTGCTTGAAGGCGCATTGCGCCCCGGTAATTTTTCTCGCTCAATTCAACCAAATTAGACCGTTTATAGGAAAGTTTAAACAAGAAAGGTAGCTGTACCTGAGTCCAACTATACGTTTTGACAAAAATTTTACCGGATTGTGGCCTCACATCAGTGAGCCGGTCATTCGTGAAAGAAAAAAATCAATATGCGTTTTTCGCATTGCATTGCTGCAAAAAACGCATAATAAAATGTACTCGGAACACAACACACATACGGATAGGATCTCGACAATGTATACTTCGTGCAACTGCTGCAGCGCAAAACGCACTATGAAGCGAAAAAAAAGAATTTAGAGTGATACTAGATTTCTTCTGACCTCCTGGAGAATGTTTCTTGAGAATAACGATCATTTGGAGCTTTTATACTGGGCTTGTATTTGGATCACACATCACAAAGAATACTTCAAAAATAGAACAATAAGTAATTTGGTTTCAGAAGGTGGTCCGACTGTCGGAGCAACTGCGGAACACAGAAGCGGCCAGAGTAGCTCAAGAGCCAAAGGCGGTAGTTTAGAAAGCCCCGCTGGGGCTGCTGCACCAGGCAGCCCAACAACAGGTGGTGGAAAGCCACCTGGTGCTGGTACTTTCGTGACTATACCAAGAGGAGGAGGGGGAGGAGGAGAAGAAGGGGCAGGAAGAGGCAGCATCGGTGGTGGTACTGGAACATGGATCGGTCGACCTGGATCACCATTCCGGCCGCTCAGTGGTTCCATCATACCACCAGGTTTCCCGAGAAATGGACAATGCAGTAAGCTTGTTGTTTCCCACTCTTCAAAAAAATTTTATATCTTATTCGTTTTGATGGACCTCACTTACTGAAATATGTTTAAAATTATTGACAAATTTTAATCCATACGTTATAATTTTAAAACGGAACAGTGTGGGGGAAGACGGAAATAAGAACGATAATTCTAAACGGGAATTTTTCAGTTCGTCAAGTCCTACAAATTCCATGTTTTTTTAATCTTGAAGTCCTTGGAAGCTGCTTTTCACTTCATTCTATAAACACTAGGAATTGCATAAACCGCAAACTTATAGGTTACAAGTTATTACGATGAAAAATAGGCACAAACACTGCTATTTCTGCTCACTTTTTTATGCTGAAATTATGGCTGGAACAAGGCATTGTTTCTAATTCATTTTTCAACCGAATTACAATCGAAAAAGCAAAAGCTTTTAAGTTTTTTACCGCCAACAACCACTGACCATAGTGTGCCGATGACTCCCTTTTCCAAACGATTGAAGGATATGTTTTTGGCGTGCAGGTCAAGCAAAGCATATTTTTAAAGCAAAATTTCAAATATGTCACCTTTGGCATAAATTATACAGAAAATCTCGCATATGAAACGCTTCTTATTTCAAGCTTTTCCACTTTTTTTAAATTTTTCCTTTATCAAGTTTCCTCTTCTCAGATTTTTAAAAATTGGTTAAAAATGCTCCAGTTTTTAAACATTTTTTAAAAATTTCTCCAGTTTTTAGATTTTCCAGTTTTTTATTTATCCGAAACTTTCGCAAATCAAATCTTTCAAAATTCTCAGCCCATACAACCTAGTCTTTGTCACCAAATTTTTTCTAAATTTCGTACCGCGCTATAATGCTGTTATAAAACACCACAGTGCATAATTCACTGAGAGCAGCTGTTAAAATAATATAATTTTATAAACAAAATTTCAGTGTGCAGTTTGGAAAACACCTGTCCACCAGGCCCAACAGGTCCAAAGGGTGAAAAGGGTATTGACGGCGAAAATGGCATACCTGGAAAAGATGGGAAGGATGGTATTGATGCGGAGGATGTGCAGCAAGAAGGTATATCTGGTTGCTTCAACTGTCCGGAAGGTCCGCCTGGTCCTCCAGGACCACCTGGTCGACCAGGCATTCGCGGTCAACGTGGACCGAAAGGTACACCAGGCTTTCCAGGACGCGATGGCAATCCTGGACCACCGGGAGATATAGGTCCTCCAGGGCCACCAGGTGCCGATTTTTTTTTTTGAATTTTAAACAGTTCTGGCTTTAGACATAATTAATTTGCATTTATTAAATACTGGCGTAGCTCTTGAAAAAAAGTGCATTTCTGGCATAATATTCTTTAAATTTATACACTTATATGTATATATAAGTGTGCACAAATATATATAGGTGTATATATATATTTGCTAAACCCTGCGAAACCCTTAATTTCCAAATGCTAAACCCTTAATTTTCTACGCGTATTTTTTTAACTTTCAAAAGCGTTTTTTAGGGCCGGATGGAAAGCCCGGTGAACCTGGCGAGAAAGGTGCGGATGCGGAGAAAGTTGTTGGCCGTAAAGGAAACCGTGGTCCGCAGGGC